CAGGACCGCAGTCCTGTTGGAGAGAAGTGTCACCTGCGGCTCTACCCCTCCTAACCCTCAGATTAATTTTGTGTTCTTCAAACTTTACTCAAAGAGGCCACTTCAGCCAGTCTGTCCCAGCCCCATCAATTCACCGTGTGTGGGACCTCCTGGAGCTGCAGCCAGGCTCCGGCTGTGCATGCACACGCTCTACACTTGACCCATCATTTTGGCAATGTCACCGACTTCGGTCCAATTACAGCAGTCATGAATTGGACCCTGTTCACCCCCTGAAACTGCCACAGCTCACAGCTGAGGTTCAGACAGTTACACAATGAAACCATTCACACGTCTCATTAACTCTGGACTATGCATTGAAAATAACTGTGTCATACGAGTCTCTGATTAAATTTTCTCAGTTTATGTCATTTATAGGTACCTTCCTGTTTGTAACAGCAACTCTAACTACGTAAAACTTTTTTTTGTGCTGTCAGCATAGGAAAAGTGGGATGTAGAGCGTGGTATAATAATTCTTTAGTGTAGTTAATTATAGTCATCCTAAATAATATAGGCTATGGAAGTATTTTAAATCCAAGCACAAAGATGTAGGCATGTGGCCAACTGTTCCAAGACACCAGTCGGCCTTTGGTTGTGTATTTTGCACTTTTTGAAGTTTATTTTTATTGTTTTTTAATTTATAATTGCAGTAAAGTCAAGTCCAAGTTTCCAAGTAAGCAAAGTGTAAAGGCACTTGGAATTCAATAAGGCTATCCTGTTGCCTACACATGGGAAGACACAAGGATTCTCTGCTTTTGTGATTTATATGATTGTATTTCTCTGCTGAGTGGCAACAGCAAACCTTGTGTTGTATTTGTCTGTGCTCGTATATTAAGGTTTTTATAACAGATGCAGCCCAGGGGTTTATGTGTATCACAAAGTGCTTTCAAACTAAAGCACATGTCCAAAGCCTCAAGAGGCACAATGGAGGGATCATTGCAGCGATGACTTTGGGGAGTTAGTTTTGGTTTGTGCTGCAGTAGAGAACCAATGGCAAATTCTAGAACACAAAACCTTGTCCAAAAAAGGCAGAGACACAGTAAATCCCATGAAATGAAGCAGAGACAGGACAGACCAGGACAAAGAAAAGAATGAGCTGTCAAGTTTGGCATTAATAATAGTGTGCAGCAGAGAGAGAAGTGGACAAGCCTGTGCCAAGGCAACTTTACTAGATGCTGCAAAGGAGGATTAGGGATGACCTTGACAGTATGTGTGAGGAGAATACACAAGAACTTAGAGCAATGCTGTAAGCAAAGCTTTGCTGGCAATCATTTTGTGCTTCTGCAGAGGAAACGTCACGAGGACGTCATAAAAAAAAAGAGAGAGAATGTCATCAGTAAGATATGAAATGGACATGCCTTGGAGGAATGTCAGGATAGGGAGCTGCTAGGACAGAGAACACCCCGGATTCTCGCAATTGTAGTTTACGGAAGAAGAACACCCAGCATTTGATCACAGGTCAGATGTCTGTTTGGGGAAAGCAATAGTCAGTCCCAGGTCCTGAGCCTGCAGAAATATTGCTAGGAGGAAGTAAAAGTTAAAAGGTTTAGGAAGAAAAATTAAAAACCTCCTGTTCACCTGTGCTGACCTCAAGGCATCAGCAACCCATCCAGAGCAATGCATCAAAGACAGGCTCAAACATACAGTGGAACAGCTGTGGGAGAGTAGATCTATAAGTCAGAGGGAGACAAACAACAGGTACAACCTGGAGCAGATGCAGTGGCAACCCCAGCAGGCACCTTGTGTTCTCTCCATCCACATTCTGCACTGTTGCAATGTGGTACATCTTGCTAAAACAAAAATAATAATTTAGAGAGAAAATTCCTCCTTGGTCACTCATTCTGTCACCCTGCCCAAACCTAAACTAGTTTTATATCACACTGATTGATTTTTCCTAGAAGGAGACTCTTATTGCAGCACATTTTTTATTTGGCATTAATTTCCTGACATTTACTGACATTCACAACCATTCTCACAACTTCTTGAATAAAAAAGGATGTTGAGTAGATGGAGGCATTCTATGGAATTCAGGTATGGATTCAGGTCTAAATCGTGAAGTACTTAAGTAACAGATTTAATATATTCAGTAAACTTGCACTTTTATACATGAGGCAAAGACCAAAGCCCTTCATAAGGGTATGTTGTACTTTTGCATCTGATTCAAAGATCTCTCTTTCACTAAGGTACATGGCTGAAGAGGTCACCTGTGTTTGATTTGGAATTATAAAGTTTGTCCATGATTAAATATGAAAGCAAGTCTACAAATGAAACAGAGAGGGCTTGAAACTTAGGTCTGCTTGTAAAGTGCATGTTGAAAAGCCATTTTGAAAGGCATTTTAAATTCTGCTCATATCTTGTTGCCAAATCATCAGTGGTTTGACTCACATATCAGAGTTTTTCTCAAAACAAAAAAGAAAGCTTCAGATGAACCTATTTACGTAGGAAAAGGTCTTTCAAAACAACTGCACAGAGGCCAGGATCAACATCTGAACACGGGCTGAGTTGTTACATTTTTAGAATTATTCCTTTCATTAAAGGCATGAGGCATATCTCAGGTATCTTGGGGACTGATTCAGAGTTGTAACATCCTAAAACAGTAATTGCTCTGCTGGGTGAAATCCTGCCTTTATATTTGCAAGGCTTCTTTCCAACTCCATGAAGGTAAGCCCACCTTGCCTATGATGCTGATGGCTGCAGTAGCAGCACTGCTGGATGTTATGGTCCAGATCTTCTGCAAGAACAAGACCCCCAGCCAGGGGACCAGCAAACTTCTTTCCATCTGGCTGCCGCTCTGGCAGTGAGCAGGGTCATAAACTAAAGGTGGTTGCTCAAGCAACTGGACTGAATGTCCAAGAGGTACCCTGGAATAAGAGCCTTTTATGTGACAACTGTTGTTGAGCTCTTTCCTGCAATTAGGTAGCAATGGAACATCAAGGTAGGGGAAAGCACAAACTTTTGTGACCAAAGAAATCACGACCTGAAGCAGGGAGACTGCAAAGTGGGGTGGTAGCAGTCTGGTCCTAGAGCAAGTGGGTGCCTACAGAGAAAACCCAGGAGAAAGAGCAGCAGAATTGCGCTGTGGGGTGTCAGAACTAAGAACATTTTCTTTACTGTTTTAAAAAGGACTTTAACGAAAAAAAGATCTGGATCAGAACACGCAGCAGTCTGAAATAAAACATTTTGACTTCATTCTCTCTCCAGTCACTCATCTACTTTCTGCATTCCTTCCTGCGCAGGGGCTCGGTGTTATCACTGCAAGAGCAGAGATGTTGCTGACTTGGAAGCAATGGGGAATTACGTGCAATAGGGAATTACTTCTGCAAACAGATCACCTGAGGTGCATGCTTCAGAAAGTGCACCCGGGGAGCCAAGTGTTTTCTCTCTGTGATTTGGGGCAGAGCTCACTCACACTCTTAATTTCTGCAGTCATCAGTGGCACCTCTGTGACTCTTGAGGTTTAAGTAGCACTGTCATAATGTCACCTCCACTCCCCAGGAGTGCTGATAACCTTTCCCTTGCAAAAGGCTTTATCTGGACTTCATAGTACACAGGCAATTGGTTACAGCATGTACCCCTCCCACTGCAGAGAACCCTTCAGGGCGTTTAGTTCCCCTGTTGTGAGTACCCTCCCCAGCATGCCAGCCTGGCAGGGCAGAAGGAAGGAGGGACACCAAAACCTTTAAAACATTTAGTGTCAATTTGCTAGAAAGCAACAAGGACAATTGTTATGAAATCTTTGCCAGCTGGGAAAGATCTTCACCGAGAATGCTAGTAAATCTCTAGCCTTGTGGAAAAAAACTTTCTTTATGTGAAACTGTTGTAAACTGAATCTGATCACTTGCCCAATGAGAGAGTGTTGAGTCCTGTTTTTGATCCTGGACACAGCAGTATAAACAAAACACAATTTGATCAAAGTCACTAGAGCAGCAGAGGAGAATGCACAGCATGACCGTGAGGAACATCTGGCTTGATGCAGTAACAAAATCTGGACCAAATGGATTTCAAGCATCTCCCATTTGCAGCTATTTTAGTCCAGGAGAAGACAGCCAACATGTATAGAGATATTCCTGAAATGTCTGAAATAAGTAAGGCCACAGTGCCTTGTACTGAGTACAGTTCTGCACATATAGACTTTGGAGTACTCAAACCCAGAACAGCCTACAGTAAAGCACCTAGTGGGATCCAGGATTTGGCCATTCCCTCTCAGGAACAGCTGATTTCAACCAAATTAACTGTGTTAACCTGAAAACCTTCTTGCTGACAGGTGCTGAGATTATTTAAAATGCCAACTAAGATACCTTTTTTCGTGTGTCACTAGACTGCACTGCCAAATGTCTCGTCACAAGAATGTCTTAAAATTCATGCAAAAAAATGAGTAGCATTTTTGGCAGGGCAGGGCACTGCAGCATTGGAAGAGAGAAATTTTGGAGGAATCGAGACAAACACACAGCTGGGAGCTGAAAAGGCTTCGCCAGCCACTCACTGTGCCCATCCCAGATGATTTATTTGCGGAATTCCCAAAGGCGGGAGGCTGCCGGGGCAAGAGTGGTGAGGGGGGGGTGGGGGTGGAGAACCCAGCGGAAAACGGCTCCAAGCAACAGCCTCGCAGGGAAACAAAACCAAGCATCCTTCGAACGAGGACGCCAGGAGGGAGGCAGGAGGACGTGTGGGGCACGGCAGGGAGAAGAGGGAGGAAAGGCTACTGCTGCCATTAACATCACCCCACGGAGATTTCCATTTCCCGATGTCATTTACCAATCCCCGCAGCCGCCGGGCGAGCTGCGGAGCGGGGATGCTCCGAGCGGCCCCGGCAGCCGGTCGCGCCCCCTCCGCGCCCCCAGCTCGCTGCGGGGGGGCCGGGGCCGGGCCGGCGGCGCGGGCGGGGCGGGCCGGCGGCGCGGGGCCCTTTAAGAGGTGCCGGCGGCGCGGGAGGGCGGCACAGGGCCGGGCGTGCAGCGAGCCACGGGCCCGGTACGGGCAGAGCCACCGCCGAACCCCGCGCACCGGCCCCGGAGCCCGCTGAGCCCAGAGCCACTGCACCGCGCCCGCCTCCCGCTGACGGACCCCCGAGTCCCGCTACACCGAAATCCATCGCGCGGACCGCACCACACAGAGATCCACTGCACGGATCCGCGGACCCCACCGGGCGGACTCCACCGCGCGGACCCCCGCATCCCACTACGCCGACATCCACTGCACGGACCCCACTACACAGAGATCCCCAGACCCTACTACACAGAGATCACCAGACCCCGCCAGACGGACGGACTCCACCGCGCGGAGCCTCCAGCAGCCCCGCCTGCGAACCGCATCGCCCCAAGCCCGGGCGCACGGTGCCCGGAGCCGCCGGTGCGGCGGGCATGGCACCCGGGGGGAGCCGGTCCTGGGGGTCCCTGCTGCTGCTGCTGCTGCTGCTGCCGGCGGCGGGCGGCGGGTGCGCGGCGGAGGGCGGCCCGCTGGAGCCCTTCGATGCGCTGTACGCCAGCGGGGTGGAGGCGTACTACGGCGGGGACTTCGCGGGCGCGGCGCGGTGCCTGGAGCGGGCGCTGCGCAGCCGGCGGGAGCTGCGGGCGGCGCGGGTGCGGTGCCGGCGGTCGTGCCGCGGGCAGGTGCGGCTGGAAGCGCCGGGCCCGGGGGCCGGCGGGGACCTGCCCTTCTTCGGCTCGGTGCTGCGGCGGGCAGACTGCGTGCGGCGCTGCGAGGAGCCGCGGCTCGGAGCCGCCTCCCGACACCGCGCCGCCGAGGAGGTGCGCGCCGACTTCCAGCGCAGGGTGCCCTACAGCTACCTGCAGCGCGCCTACATCCAGGTAAGGCACCGCCCCGCCCCGTCCTCCTCACCGCCCTCTCCAAGGGGTTACACGCGCTTCCATGCTCCCGAACGTCCCACGTGTGCCCCCTCTTGCATCTCTCTCAAGCCACCCAGGTATGGTCCCCCCGCAGCGTTCTCGCTGGTGTGCGCGGTCAGTGGTCACGGCCAGTTCCCGAGACACAGCATCCTGGATGACAACGTGGACTCTGTCCAGCTTTGGCTGTCTTGTACTTTTCCTGTTTTGTGTTTGTTTGTTTGTTTTGGGCTGGTTTGTTTGTTTTTGGGAAGGATGTTTTTGTTTGCCTTTTAGTATAACATAGTGTATTCTGAAAATGATCTGCCTTCAGTTTGCAGAGAAGAGCCCCCAGAAACCCCTTAGTAACCCTCCAATGCCCTCTGCCCCAGAGGTGCTTCCCTTTCAGGCATATTGAACTGATGCTGTGTTTGAGGAGCTGGGACTGTATGTGAGGCTGGGAGGTGTATAACCTCCTGGAATCTGATGTTCATTATCCTCGATGTGATGTGAAATACTTTGTGTAACACTATGCAGTCAGTAGTTAGTAGCCACTGACATCCTGAGCATCATCCTCTTATCCCAGTAACTTCTGCCTTATAGCTGCTACTTTCCCTGAGAAAAATGATGTTATTCTTTAAACTTCTTTGCCAAAAAGAAGGAAAAAAAAAATAATTAAAAAAAAAAGCAACCCCCCACCAACCCACACTAGGATAGTTAATGGTATTTTTATTATTCATTCAAGATTTGTGCTCTGTCAAGCCAGCTACCTATACTAAGTCTTCCTGTTCATGATTAGTAAGGACAGAAATTGTGGGAATTTTGTTTCATGCCAAGCTGAATGTTTAAAGCATTTCTGGAACATCTCCCTCTGAATTTCTGCTTTATTTGAGTACATCCATAGCCTTTTAGTTGCTATAGGCAATCTAATACATGAAGACCTGCACAGTGGAGCACAGGAGGGGTGATTCTGCTGAAATCCATTTCCATTTGGAGAGGCAAACATCTGTCCTAGTCAGTGCAAGTGCTTGTGGTGCAGTGCCTACACAGCAACACATCAAGGAGGCAAATCATCAGCTATTGCATTTTGAAACCTTTTGGAAATTCATAGTTACATTGCTTTTTCTGTACTTCCTTTTCTGACATTGCCTTAATGTCAATTTTACAACTGAAAGACTAGAACTGCATTGGCTTAAACTCTAGTGTCCACGTGCTGCATAGAGTTCCTGAAAGAAATCCTAGGAGTGAACTGGAACTGTATCTTGGCTTGTGTGCAATGCCAGTGAGGCTGACAGAATTCTCCTGCAGTCCTTATCATGAAAGATGCTCTATGTAATGTCGGCATCTGTGGGAAGTGACATTAAATTTGTCATGCTAAAAAATTAAGTGATTTCTTATCTTGATTTCAAAACCTTTTCCAGACTCACTGATGTCAAACTCATTGAAAAGCTTTCCTCTGAATTAGGGAATAGGGTTTTTGTCTCCCACTTCAGTAAAATTGATTTACCAAACCCCAGTGGATTTTGGGGTGTGGGATGTTCTTGCATTAGAGTTTATGCATTTATGCTCTTATGCTGAGAGTATTTTCCTCAATAACTGAGGTTATTTTCCTCATTTAAGATTGCATTCTAAGCTTATCAAAGCAATGTGTTGAAAGCAGCCCTTTAAAAATTTATTTTATGTGTGACTCATCTTAATTTGCTTTTGCAACATCTGGAGACTTCATGTGTATGCTAACACTGATTTTACTGCTCTCTGATGGAGTAGTGGATGTTCCTGTTCTCTGCATGGCTGTCCAGGTGTCAAGCACTGTAGCCAAGGGAAGGTACTTTTTGACTAGACCTGTTCACCTTTTTCTTTAACCCTTTCTGATGCTCTTGGGTTTTCTAAGCAGCACTCCAATCAGCTTTGTCCCGCAGGGCAACCCCCAGTGATTTGTCCACATCCTCACCTTGCTGCTTCCTGTACCTGAGCTCTGCTCCCAGGATTGTTCTTTTGCTCTGGCTCAGCAAGTCTGTGCACAGAAGAAAATGCCCCACATGGGATTTGCCTGCACTTGCACAAAACACGAGGTCTAACGTCTAGCCCTTACATTCACTCGGATGTGAACCATACCCTCGTGCCAAGGCTGAGTGCCAAGGCTTTGGCATGTTCCCTGAGGGTTGGGATGCACCGGCTCCACACCCTCTGGGTAGACCTTGGCTGCAGCATCTGCTTGGCATTTTGTCTGAGAAGGGGAACCGCAAAGCGAGGCTTGTGCACAATCCCCCTGCCTTGCTGTGGGTGTGTTGGCAGGCTGCACAGCTCCAGGGGTGGCCATTTGACCCTCGTGTTTTGCTCCTTAAAACCAAAAAGAAAATGGGATGAGGTTAAACACTCTGCTGCATGTCCTGTCCGGCTCCTCCCCGGGCTTCATGGGGAGGCCAGGATGCCAGGCACTTGCACAAGGTGCTGGACGGATGGCAGGGTTTGGTGCCATTTGTGGTTTGAGAGAAGAGGAGCAGCCTGGAATGTGCTTCCCACCTCCCACTCCCGCAGACCTCATGCTTGTTTGTTTCTCAGGAGGGGAGAAACACATCCCTTCAGGAGGGAGTGACAGAGCAAGGAAAAGATGAAAAAAATCGAAGGGTTTGGCTCTTTTGCAGTGCTTTGAAAAACTGTGCTGAATATACATGAACTAATCCTTGCAACACTCCTGTGGGGTAGGAAAAGCAAAGGCTTTGAGTCCTGCTGGACAGATGCACAGGCCAAACAATGGCCTTCACTGCGTGTGCCTCAGCTGTTTTGGGAGCAGGCTTGGGGCTCCCACTGCCTCTGGTCTCTCACTGCAGAGCAAGCACCAGTACAGTCTTGCCCAATTGTGATGATGTGAATGAGACTCTGCAGTGAATTGGTGGAAAACTGGTGCTAAAATTGGAAGGTTTTGACTTTTTTTGCCACTTTTTGGGGACTTTTTTTACTGGACTGTGGCAGCAGCTGTGCTGGGCTGCACTGCTTCTGCTGCTGAGCAGATGCTCAAGATACTCCTGCACAGAGCACTGTAAAGGGGCAGGGAGGTGATGATGTCTTTAGGTGAAATACCTGTGGTATCCCTCTGTAAGAACATGTTCCATCAACCTCTAAATCCATGTCATCCTATCAGTTCCCTAAATTTATCTTTTTCTCTGTACTTTTCTGAAATAGAAACAGTGGTCTTCTGAAGATGACTTTTCTGTTTCACAGGTGTGATCTCTGTGTTTTTGGTGACTCTAGCATGATGTGAGGGGAGACTGTGGTGGACTGCAGGAATGGGACAGTTTGAGGATTCAGCTGGAGGTTTCTATAAGCTTCAGGCTCAGGCCTCTGAGGTTGACTGCAGACTCTAGAGACTGTAGACAAATTGCATTGAACAAGCAGCCCAAGTCCAAATATGCTTGCATATCTTCTTTGCAGCTTCTGAATGTGCATTGTAAGTAGGAAGACTCCTCCTTTTCCTTGGATGGCTGATGCTTTCAGGTAATTGAGAAATTTACTGGGTACAGTTAGCTGAGGCAGTTAGGGTGGAATGGGTTTGAGAAGGTGTGGAAACAGAGAAGGAAATGAGAACATGGGATTTAACTCTTGTAAAGTGTGTAGTGGGCTCTTGATCCCACAGAGGAAAGGTCCTTCAGTGGGTTTTTGCTGTCATGTCCGACAGGCAGGACAATTTGCCGTATGCTGGTGGCTCTCTGCTGTGTGCTGGCTGCTTGGTCTTTGTCAGTGAAATACCCTCTAGGCTTGGCAGGTGGGTGTGGGGGGATCTCTTTGCCCTCATAAACATTTCTATTAATCACATCCTTCTTGCTTTGCTGCTTTAGTCATCTTGTTTCTGTTAAAACCTAGCCTGAAGGCCATGATGTTCCTAACCTTCCTTTTTGGAGTTTTTCTAGCTCTGAGAGTGAGTGGAGGGTGGAAGAAATGTACGCAGTGTACACTATGACAGCATTTGCTGCTGTGAGCTTCTGACTCAGTAGCCGTGTTGGAGCTTGCTGTGGATGGTCTGCCATGAACCCTGTGACAGAACATTACTTCCAGTCCCTGGTCTAACTCCTGCAAGTCAGCTTGGTCCAAAAATAATAAGCAACTTGGAAAAGTTGATCACTGTATCAACTGCAAATGCGTGTCTTGTGTCTCTTCTACCCTACTAGCCCTTTCCTCGAGGTCTCTTTCCTTTGTCTCATCCTATTCCCAGCCACAGAATTCCCTGGCCTCTTTGCTGGGTTGATCGCTATAGTCCATTTTAATTTTCTTCTTTGTATATTGATGTGCTGTTACTGAGCACTTCCTCCCATTTTGTAAATACTGACTTGCAATGGTCTTGTCTTCCCACTTGCCTGCATGCCCCGTTGCACATCAGTGAAGCATGGCAGGAATTGTATGTATGTAGTCTGTAACCACCAGCCTTGGATCTAGATGAGAAAAAGCCTTTTAGTCTGTGCTTGGGTTTAAAACAATAAATAAAACAAGTCCCCAGCATGTCAGACATTGCTCCTCTCTTAGTAATGTCAGATTGTAGGTGGAGCAAAAGGGGCAAGAGTCTGACTATATCTGGCTTATTCAGTCTTTGGCTTGAATTCCCCCCCTTGTTGTATCTGAGATGTTCTTCAGTTCTGTTATCATCATGATTTCATGCGTTGCAAGAATAAAACAATGATGTTTAGGTTTTCCATGTTGTACAAGAGGCAGTTTATTTGTTCTTTAAAGCTGCTTCTTTTCTAAAAAAAGGTCTTGTTTGGGGAGAACTTCCACTTTTATCTTCTCTGCGGGGTCTTTCACACTGCAGCTGATGGGGCACTGCTGGGAGCATGTCCTTGGGTCACACTGTGCTGTCCTGCCACCCACACCGCCAAGATTTCTGAAATGCAACACAGACACAATAACGGCTTGATAAAAGACCATAGGAGAGAAACGAAAGAAATGGAGTGGGAGCCCAAACTTCGGAAACCCCTGTGGTATAGATTATTGCC